AGTTTTTCCTGTTTCTCGAGAAAAGTGGATTTAGTCTGTGCGCTTTCCCCTCTCACCCCCCCCCATCTCCCCTCCCACCCTTATCGCACTCTAAGTTGCTGTGTTGTTCGAATTAGAATAGGTCAGCTAGGTTATCAGGAATACTTTCCCTCCCGCTAGTTTTACACACCCAAGCAAAAAAAATATGCACAGTTCACCGGTGATAAGGTAATGTGTGGGTGCGGCGGGAAGCCCCTTCTCGTGGGAGCCTTTTTTCGGAATAGTGACCCTCCTTCCCTGGTTCCGGCATTGGAAAGTGTAAGAGGGGAACTTTCAGCAGATTTCTCCCCTCCAGAACTGAGGAAATTCGATTGATCTGGGTAGGGTTCCGCAACAAACCCAGCCATGCACTCCTTGCACTGCTCTTGCAAAAGCTGTACAAAAAATTCCCTAATTAAAAAGCATAGTTCATGCTGACCGAGTGGGCGGGAATAGACAACAGATGCTCCTTTCTCATTGCTTGGGAAAGATCCAGAAGAGCTGGATGTAAGCAAACAATCATGTGCACGTCGAAAGTGTCTCTCATTTAGCAACAATTGCCATAAACGAGCAATATTTAGGTGAACAACGCCGGCAACACTGGCGGCTCATGTTGGGCCGAGCCAGAGATCGAGGGAGATATCAGTTATTTTGATCATACTATGAATCTGAACACTAGAAGGTGAGTCCTGTTTCCCGAGTTACCAGAAAGCTCAAGCGCTGTTCGGCTTGGTGGGGCCCATTCAAGTGGTATCAATCACTGCCAATGCTCTCTGCGGGGATCTGAAAACTCTTGTAACTCCTGAAAAGCTATGCAGCGCAAGGAGCTTCGTTAACACTTGACAAGAGTGTACAGGTCTCACCGAGATGAGGCGGGTAATTTGGCAGGAACTCCCAAAGAAACTGGCTGAAGCACAGAATGCCCTCCCAAGCCAAACAGAGCCAAAATTCGTTGAATACCGTTAGCATTACGGTGTTTAAACGAAGTATTGCTTTGAATAATAACTGCCAATACCTATTAAGTGTACTGAGGACTTTGCCAGCTAGCCTTTCCACATCTGGTGAAGAGCCAAGGTGAAATCGTTAATATAAGCAGTGTGACTGGATTGAACAACGGAGCGGTAGGTGACCTCATATTTGAAAACTTTCAGAAAAGACGGCGACTTTGGTTTTAGGGGGCGGTGAGCGACTTTGCACTTAGTCCGTCTTTCCTACCAACGTGTCAAGCCATCACGCGGAGACCAGTGAAACTTGTGGAAGTGATACCAGCCATCCTTGTCAACCCTTGGAGAGAATACCTCCATCTCCTGCTAGAACCGGAAGTGGGAAGTAGCCGGAAAAGAAAATCCCCCCTCCGAATCCAGTGACTGTGCCAAAACTCCTCTATAGAATAACCGAAGGACTGGAGAAAGCTTACGAACATGTTTCAGTCAACGCCATTTCCATTCTACAGTGTCTCAAAAGCGGCACAGGACCAACTTACGCGTAATCTTGCTTTGCACTACATCAAAAAAGGAGTACGAGTGAATAGCGTCAAGTGGGTCCTAAAGAAATATCTTCTTAGCGACATTGAGTTGTTAAGAAGTTCCTTCCAGCCTAGGTATTCATATCGACGAACTCGTGCAAAGGCGGGGGCTTTCTGATGAGCAGGGGTCAAAGGCGGACATGTCGTGGGCCATTTTTCTGACGAGTGGAATCACGAAGACCCTGTTTAGCAGTCATTATCCTGCCAAAATTATAGGCGTGTAAAGGGAGGTTGAGTTGTTCCGCAGCTCGAACAGCCCCTACCCGGCAATCATTGCGGCTCTAGATGGGATATTGATGGAAAAGTCTCTTTTGCAGCTCTCCAATCCATACCCTGTCACACGCTCTATAGTTTACAGGGGCCAAGCACAGCGAGTAGCATCTTTCATCCACCGTTGTCAGTATCGCGAGGATAGAGCAGAAAGGGCCATATTGGAGCGGAGGCGAGGCTATGTCTGTTTTGTTCGTCTTTGCCCTCCTAACGAGGGTTATTCCAGAAATAATTCTGATGTGGCACTATGCATAATTCGTGGAGTAATGGTCCCTATTAGAAAGTCGCGAGCTTAGCCAAACAGGTAATGGCCCTTAGAAGTTTGGAGCCAGAAGGTTGGTCTGCTGAGAAGTGCTTCCCGTTTTTCTACGTATGTGTCGGTTGCCCCGCTCTTCACAAGCGGTGCGGAACGGTCTTAGAAGCAAACCACCTTAGGTGCCTCCACCCCTCCTTCTCCCCTCAACTTCCCGTCGTGTCAAGCGAAACCGCTTTCGCTTTTGTACGAGAAGACCGAGCCGATCGAGATAGAACATACTTGGTTCTCCAGCGAACTATGTCGGACAAACGGAAATTTGGCATCCAAATTCGGGCGGGTATCGTATGGGTAGATGGAGTTAGAATGGATCATGCCCAGTAGGATAATGCTTTTCGATCTTTGACATGTTGCGTAGATCCAAGCGCTCCTTTCCGCGGCATCAACCAGCGATAACCTCACCAACTGTCCCTCTCATTTTCACCGTCAACAATCCCCCCTCATCCCCACAACAAACTAGTCTGGCAGTCAGGTAATCTGTGGACGCAAAAGCACGAGTAATTTGCACTAGTTGACCCTTTGTTGAAGGCAAAATGTAAACTCACATCCGAAGACCGTGCTTACTATGGGTCCATGAGTCCGTAGCTGCAGTAACGCGCCACTTTCTCCGCTTACAAGTGTCCCGGAAGCAAGGTGGAGGGTAGTGATACTCGGGTCCCGTCTTCATACTCCGCCCTCCCTATCCTCAAAGTACAGCACTCATCCGTTACCAAGATTTCCCAGCGGGACGCCCATTGAGATCAACTAAAAGTGAGGGGTGCAGACAAGTATCGAGTTTGACTTTGGTTCGGTCCTTGGTTGGCCAAGCACCATTCCTGGCGCAGTCCAGAACGGCATGTGAATATCGTTACCCTCTTTACCCCTTTCCCGTCCACTTTTTTGAAAAAGTGACACGCTACTGCAGCTGCGGACGTATTCACCTTGTTCATTACAAGGGTCAGGATCCCAAGGTGAGGATCAAGCTTGTTCTCAAGGAGGGTAGCGGTACACTTAATAGTTTGAAGCTGTTAGTGGCGATGATTGGCGAATCTCCCTATAAATCTTCATGAAAATAGAAAATTTGAAGTCAATCTGTAAATTCATACCGTTTCAAATCCCAGGGTGAAGAACAAATCGGTGCCTCGGATTCGTGCGTGCCATATGGTCGTGCTGGAACACCCGATGAGGTGGCTGAAGCGATTTTATTCCTTGCTGACAGGTGGGTTGCCAGCAAAGTGCTGACTTCTGGGATGTCGTGATGCAGTGCAGTAATTTTAATGAAATATTGAAAAAAGAAATTCCAGAAACAGG